GGCCTCCAAAATGCAAAGGGGGTGATCTCAGGGTAGGGAGAAGGGGTTGGGCTGTGGCCATGGCCCCAGAAGGCAAGGTGGGGCTTTGCTGTATGATCTTTCATGCAGATGGTGCCAACTGCCGGTCTCTCGGCAGCTGCCCAGCGCTGCAATCCACCACCTAGAACAATAACAGGATCTCAGCCTTGTGACTGTCAGCCTAGCACAAAAGCACATTTGGTAGACAAGTCAGCAATCCAGTCTGCCTTAGCTCTGAAAAAAATCCTAGGGACTCAAGTGATAATATAATATTAAACTAATTATAGAAATCGCAGACCAAAATATTTGCCATTACCATAAAAAACCCAGATGCTGGATAAATTCCAGTGAATGTACTTTTTAATTGCATTGCTGAGGTCACAGATGAGAAAGTATAGGAAATCCCCAAAGGTCGGGCTAAAAATGAGAGGAGTACAGTAAACCAAAACCACAGAGGTGGTTGAATACAAAAGAGGAAACATGTACTGCCTGGGGTCAGGAGAAATTTCAAAAAGTTGAAGTGTGAGGGATTAACTGCCTCTGGGAGCCGTGTAAGCCTCTACAAAATAGAGAAGCAAATCTAGGACCTTTCCAGGAAGCCAGGTCACTGGCTTTGGCCTGAGCGAAAAGGCAAGCAGGGTAAAATCTGTCTGCAGAGGGAACTGAGCAGAAAACCCTGCCCCTCTGAAGAACAAGAATCTGACTAGACTCATGTCTGCCTTCTCCTGGGGCTGAGGAATTAAGATGATTCTAGGCTTGGATGCAGTATCTCCTGGTGTCTGGCAGAAGCAAACATGCAAATCCTCTAGAGAAAAATCAAAATATCAAAAATACTGATATGTCAATTATAAAGTGTCCCCCCCAAATTACTAAACATCCCAAGAAATGAGCCACTATGAGCAAGAGTCAGCAGGAACAGCAAACAATTGATTTAGACCCCTGGGATTTCAGATACTAGGATCAGGTACAGAATGTAACTACGAAACCTCTAAAGATGGTTTAAATAAGCAGGCAGATTTGAAAATCGAATTCTGGAGCGGACAATCATTGAAATTCTCAGTACACCACTGACCAGCATAGCAGATGCATCTGAAAATGAGTGAAGCCTAGACTAGGAGATGGAAAATAGGGAAGAGTTGTTCCTTCTGGAAGGTAGGTAAGTGGAGAGCCCTTTCAAATTTTACAAAAGTATGGAGTCAAGGAGCCGACTGACGTGTTTTCTCAGTATAAAGGGAAATAATTGGCCTGAGATGACAGCACAGTCTCCAAATGAGCATACGCAGTGGTCTGAACTCCTCTGGCCTGTCTGTGCTGCTTTCTTCCTGCTGGAATTTCAGGGTCCTGAGTTGGGTGTACCCCCTCTTCAGCTGTCCTCCCTCCCTAGAGGTTGGGGGAACCCACAACCACCCACCCGCCCCTCCCCCCATGCCCCAGGACAGCTTCATTGCCTGGTGCCGGGCGCCCTCCTGTGGAAAGAGCCAGACTTGCTCCCTCTAGTGCCTCCAGCCTGCAAGCAGATTCCTATCCAGGATGCACACCCCAGCAACTTTTCCTCTCCCCCTTGCACCAACCTTTTCCGAAGCTGCCTTTCTGCCCCAGAAGTTCAGCTAACATTATCTGGGTGCCTCCTGGGGAGTTCCAGAAACAAAGAGGACAAGCCCCACCACCTTCTGGTGGCTGGGCCCTGTATAGCCCCTTCCAGATCACCCTCCACCTCTGTACACCCATGGCTCTTCCTTGCTGCCCCAGCTGCCATCCTGCAGCCCCAAGGTTTGGCCTCCTTTCTTCCTTTGTTATAACTGCTATTGTCTTCCAGCCCTGGGCTGGCTTCTATTACTAGAGGATACTCGAGATACCCCTCGGTGGTGTTCATGCTTGATAGCAAGCAGCTGTTGGTGCCCGGGAATCAGTCAGCTGTGTGACTTGGAGCAAAGTACTTGCTCGCTGAGCTTGTTTCTTCATCCATAAATTGGGAGTGCTAACGATGCCTACACCATTAGGTTGTTGTGAGGTGAAATGTGATCATATGGGAGTTGTCCCAGCACAAGGCCTGGCGCTTAGGAAGCCTTTGTAAACGGAAGGTGTTCTCATAGTCTGGTGCTGCTTCTGCCAATATGTGATTTCCTTGAGGATTCATCTTTGTTTCAGTATCCTGCCTGAAGCATTGTGTCCTGCTTACATATTTGTTTTGAGAATAACTTCCTAGGGGCACCTGGCTGGCTCACTTGGTAGAGCATGCGACTCTTGATCTTGGGGTTATGAGTTCAAGCCCCATGTTGCGGGGGATATATATATAGGACATATATAGAGAGAATAACTTTCTGAAGGCCCACCTAATTCCCAGTTCCTTTGTTTTGACCCATCAGAGGCTGTGTTAAGGAGATTTCGTGTATGTGTTGCCCTCTAAGAGTTAGACTGCAGTGGCAGCCATTTAGACTGTGTGCACCTGGCCTGGCACTGGGCCAGTCCCCGGGACAGGTTTAAATGTGTGCAGGTGAGTCACTGGCACATATGGGAGGAAAGTGAGGAGGCAGGTGCAAGGAGTGGGTGAGGGTGAGGGTGAGGGGGTGGTAGCTGGTGGAAGGAACTACAAGTTCTCCCAGCATCTGTACTCTGCCTGCCCTTGAACTGGGTACTGTTAACCAGCTCAGGACACTTCACTGTCCCCAGCACCTGCCACAAAACAGGTGCCCAGTGGCTGCTGAAACGAGCTGAAGAGTCACCAAGAGCAGGGCATGGAGGGTGAGGCCTGGAAAGGTGACCTAAACCTGATGGCTTTGACCTGCTACTTCAAGGCTGAGGAGGTGTGTGGCGGGGGGGGGGGGGGGAAGCCATGGGGGAGGCCAGGAGGGAGTGACTGAGGCTGCCCGTAGCCCAGCTCAGCTGGTGTGTATTTTAGGGAGTGGAGGCTGTACACACCAGGAGTGGGGCTGATAGCTCAGGGCTTTGAATGCCAATTCAAGAACTCGATCTTGATGCTGAAGGCAGTGTGGTACCATTGAAGGGTTTTAGCAGACTCCTGTGGTCCCCATGGCAGTGTTTTGAAAGCCCCTTGTCTGTTCCGTTATGGGAACAGACTGGGCGGGGGGTGGTGGACTAGAGATGGGAAGCCCAGTGAAGAGGCTGCCAGTCTCCTAGGCCAGAGGTGATGGTGGCCACGAGCTGGGGGTTAGGGTGAACACAAGATGGAGATGAAGGTGGAGTTCAGTAAACACAACGTAAAGGCCTGGCCACCACCTCTGTGCCCCCCCAGCCCCGCTGAAAACTTTGCTCTCGTTGTAGCCTCCAGGTTTGGGGTCCAGCCCCCACCTCCACCCCCACCCCTACCCCCAGCGCTCCCCTGACAGCTTCCTGGCTCCTCGTTACCTGCAAGACATCACACAAATTCCCTGTGGCCCGGCCTCCTGGCTCACCTCCAATCCCTTACACTTCAGGGTCCGCCTTCTGCTCCCTCTGCGCCCCAGCCACCCCTCAGCTGTCCACACCCCGACTGGACTGGGCTTTCACAGCTCGAGCCCAGGACACCCTCCCAGCGGCCACATCCCGGCCCCTTGCGGCGCTGACCGCACTCCCCTCCCCCTGCAGTACCCTCCCCAGCTCCTCCGAGCTTCAGGAAAGGAGGGAGGACACACACAAAAAAGGTGTTAACTCCGCAGTGAGGCAGGCCAGGGAACAAAGGCTCTGGAGGCACTCCCTTCCAGAGCTGACAGCCTGGGGATTTCCGCATCTTTGTTCAAAGATAGCAATGGGAAGTTTTTAGTTTTGAGGGTTTGCTGTCGCTGTTATTTATGGAGGAAACAACAGAAGCAATCAGAACACCGGGCAGAAAGCAGGATTATTTCCTCCTGGGAGGGCTTCTTCTCTATCCAGGACACTAAGCCCTCCTCACGCCCACCCAGAGCTGTGTGCCACTGTGCTGGCTGCACCTTTTAGGAGCTGCCACGAGTCTGGGGAGAGGGGTGGCCTGAGCACAGCCTGGCACGGTGCTGGCCAGCAAACCTCCAGCGACCCCTGTGCTGTGGGAGCAGGTCTGTGACCCTCCAAGTCTGAACTCCTGTGGGGGTCATTAGGGAGAAACCCCAGGGAAGACCCTGCCTAGAGTCCCAGACCAGGACGTCCACCCTGAGCTGGTGCCATCTGAGTCATTTTCTTGGCACCACCAGGTCATTCAAGAACATTGGTGAACTGTCACTTAGCCCACTGGCCGCTCACTGCTGGCTTAAAACCCACCACAGCTTCCTCGGGATGAAGCACATTTGAGGCCCTGCTGCCTCCCCACCCTCGCCTCCGCCCACTGTTGCCCTGCCCCAGCCTCAGCCCACTGGCCCCCTGCCCCAGCCTCAAACCACTGCCGGGCTTCCTTCAGTTCCACAAGGCAAGCTTTCCTCCGCTCAGAGCCTGAGTGTGTGTTTTCCTTCCTAAAAACTCCCAACCCCGACACCCTCCAGACCAGGTCAGAGGCCATCCCGTGCCCTTGTGGTACCATGTGCCTCCCCTTTAGAGCCATGTAGGTCAGTCACCTCTCTCTGTGCCCCCCAATCCCTTCTCTCCAGATGGCTCAAAGTAGGTCCCCCCAGTGCCTGGATGGACCACGTTGGCCATTCCGCACCTGGTTCTGTCAGGTGACAGGGGTGGTGACAAAGCCAGTCTGGAAGGGGCTCGGGGAGGAAGGTTCTGTCAGGGGACAGGACTTCTCACAGGCATCCAGCCACACTGTCTGGGACCCTGAGAAGGCTCTGTGCCCCCAACTCCAGATCACACCCTGTTGGCAAGGAGGGTGATGGTGAAGCTAGAATAGCCAGCCAGTTTTCAGGGAGCTGAGAGCAGAAACCCGATCCAGTTCACTTACTTTCCCAGGCAAGACCCCAGAACCAGGGTTTGTGGAGGTGAGAGGGCCCTGAGTTGAGGAAACAGGTTAGCTGTGAAGTTCCCACCGTCTGGAGAGAACGGGAGCCCAAGATGAGAAACAGTTGATTTCTAAAGAAAGGCTGCCAGCCCTGAGTGGCTGGTGTGATATACAAACCAACCCCAAAGCCTGGCCTTCCTGCCGAGGGAGAGAGAGGACACACCACCAGAGGTGACCACTTCCTTTATTGCCTTTGGGCTGGGGTCCTGGGCTGGGGCTCAGAGGTATCTCAGGGGGAGCAGGTGACACTGGGCCCAAATTATTGCTACTTGGCAAGGTCACCTTGGGACTTCCCATAGTGCCCTGAGTACGGGTGGGCATGAGCATGCAAATGATATGCAAATGACATGCAAACCAACCAGGATCCTGCAGAAGGCTCTGGTGCAGCGGAAGGTGCTGGAAGAGTTGGGAGCCTGCCAGCCCAGGAGGGTGATGGGGACACCCAGGTCCTTACCCCACACTGCAGACGGATCCGGCCCAGCCTCAGGGGTCGAGGTTTGGTGGGGGGGTGGTGTCCCTGAGCATCAGCCCTGGTTCTGCGGCTGGTTGAGGAAGAGCAGAAGCCTGGCCCCAAGGCAGCAGGAAGAAAGCAGGGTACCCACTAGGCAGCCAGACAGCCCAAGGCCCACCCAGAGAGGGAAGCGACCTGCTCTGTGTCCCACAACAAGGCTGGGACAGAAGGGGACCAGAATCCAAGCCTCCTGAGCCAGGCAGAGGCCAGAGTGCCTCAGAGGCTAAAGATTCAAATAGAATACACTGATAAACAGAAAGCAAGCAGCCCAGTCCCTGATCCCTGGGCTGAGGGACTCTCCACCGGCTGGGTCGGGGGGAGGGGGGGCGGGGGGCACCTCTGAGAGCCCAGCCCCAGGTCTAAGAGTGGCCACGTCCTTGGTCTTGGTGCTGAGTTGACCAGTCCAGAAGCTCCAGAATGAGGCAGGTAGGGCCCCAGGGCCTTGGCTTATGCAGGTCAGGCTCAGTTATTATTCATAATCCACCAGGAGGCTAGGGGTCAGAGGTTGAGGATCAGAAGGCATCAGGGGCCCACTGCCACTCCATATGGCTGTAGAGAGGGTTGGGGGCCACAGCATACCTGGGAAGAACACAGTGGTGAGGGTGTCCGGAGCCCGAAGGTAGTCAATGAGGATGCGCTGGAAGGCCTTACTACAGGCAGAATGCTGGTGCCTGGGGAGGTTCATGGAGTGACCTGAGGCTGGAGCTGGTCCCCCAGAGGGCAAGACCACCTGGTTGAGAGCTCCCCACTCCCTCCCCAGTCCTGCCTCCTACTGGCTCTGAGCCTCAGCTCCCCCTGTGAACTGGGGGCAAGAGTGCATACTGTAGCAGGACACGCAGAGGATTACATGAAGTGTAACCCATGGGTGCCTGGCACAGGCTGTGGCGCAGTTCCCCGAGTGCCTGCTCTCTACCCTGCCCCCAGCGCTGTGTTCAGGTCTTCATCTGCTGTCTCATTTGGCTCACAGGAGGGTAGACCTCTTACCACTCTCATTTTGGAAAGGACACCGCTGGGGCTCGGAGGGGATAAGTAACCCTCCCAAAGTCACACAGCCAGGGTCTGATAGCGGATCATTGGGACCACGGCCTGACTCACTCCAGGGCCCATACTCAATAAACGTTAGTTTTCAGACACCATTCATACCTTCTCCAGGAGGCCTCATCCTGCCAGAACTCATACAGGGTGAAAGAGGCATTGTCTAGCATCTTCTGGGCAGACACACTGTGGGACCAAAGAGATGGCCAGGCCCAGGCTACCACCACCACTGCCCACCCAGCCGGGGTGTCTAATGGGAGCCCTGGACCAGGATGCCCAGCCCCCCGGCACTTTGCCCTACTCACCACCCCCGCCCCGACCTTGGCCAGCCCACTAGCCAGCTGGGGACTCACTGCAGGCAATGGCTCTGGGCCCCTGTGAAGTCCACGTAGCAGCACAGGGCACGGTGGAAATCCTGCAGGGCTTCCTCCGCCACCTGCACCTCCCTCTGGGCCACGAGGATGTGCTAGCAAGAGAGGCCACCTGGTCAGCCAGGGTAAGGCAGGGCTCAGCGAGGGATGGGATGTGGCCTTCAGGAAGACCCCGCCCTGCCTGACTTGCACCAGCGCTGGCCTGCCATGAGATCAAGCTCCTGCCCAACCCGGCCCCCCCCCCCCGCATCCCTGACTCCATCCTCCTCTCCCCACGGCCAAGGTCACTGCCTCTATCCTGCCACTGTCTCTCTCTCCTGCAGTATGCCACCATTTCCTCCCTCCAACCTCCAACCATGCTGCCCAGACCAGCTTTCAGGGATGCAGATGAGGGAGACTAATGCCCAGAGAGGGGCCGGGACTTATACACGGTCCCACAGCAAGGACCGGGCCTGGCGCCTGCTGCCAGGCCTGGGGGACGAGGGCTGGACCAGCCTGGGAAAAGGGCATCTGTATAACCCAGAGGCCAAGTGGGCAGCAGGCCCGTGAGTCCCCTCACTTAATGAGCACCTCCTCCTGGCACGATGCCCAGTTGCCTGTCCCTCTCCTGGACTTACCGAGTCAGGCCCCTTGGTAAGCTCCTCTTCGTGCAGAGGTTCCAGCCTGGGGGCCTGTGAGGGACGCAGAGTGTGGGCAGGGCCCCCACCGTGTCTGGCTCAGACGGATTCCAGGAAGGTCCTCCCCCTTGGGGCACTGGCCACATGACCCTCACCTTACACTCGAGCTGGTCAATGAGCTCCTGGAGACGGTTGACCTGGAGCCGCCACCGCATCTCGGCTCCCGAGCTCTGCCCTGGGGTGGGAGACCCACGGTGGGGAAGTCTGGCACGGGCCCCGCACGTGGGGAAGCCTCTCAGGGACAGTGGAGGGGTGGGCACTGCGCCCACCCAGCACCCTCCTCAGCCAGACCTCCCACGCTGCCACAGGCCCACCTGTGTCTGAGGCGGAGGAGCCAGGAGACCAGGTGGGTGACCGACCGATGCTCCGCAGGGCCCTGCGCCCTACCCGCCGACTGCCGTGGGGCCTGCTCTGCACCCCCACACTGTCTTCGTCTGACCTAGGGAAGTGGAAGGTCGACCGGCTGCTCCCAGACCCACAGGCCAAGGACTGGGGCCCCAGAACAGGGCCAGGCCTGGGTGGGGCAAAACAGGCTTCCGGGGACATTGAGACCCAGCCTCAAAGCCAGCCACCCCCTCTCACCCCTTCTTGGCCTCCCTGCCAACAAGAATGTGAGCTCTGGGATACTGGAGCTACGGAATGTGATGGAAGCCGAGGGCCCTGGAATGTGGCGACGGCGACCAGCGGGGCACCTCACATACCGTGGGCCCCGGGCCTGGGCCTCCAGGGTATCTGATGCCCCTTCCAACGAGCTCTGCAGGGCTTGTAGCTGGCTCACCGTCTCCCGCAGGAGGAAGCGCGTCACAAACTGGTCCACCTTGGAGGCCCGCTCATACTCCTGGGGGCAGAGGGGACATGGTCAACATTTCCTGGTCTCAAGCCTATTATTTCTGAACGGGGAGCCACTGCCCTGCCCCCCTACCCCTTGCCCATCAAAGCAATGGAGACAGCATGAAGAGCAGAGAGCATGCAACAGGAGCAGAACAGTGTTGGGACTGGGAGCCAGGCCTGGACCCTCGTCTGCCTGGCTTTCCTTCCTGGGAGGTGTGAGGCCAACTTAACAGGGAGGCATCTGCCGTTTTCTGGGCCCCAAGGCCCCTTCCCTGTTGGGACGCCACCTTCAGCCAGTGTGGCCCCACGTACAGGTAGGCAGGTGAGGGGTAGGGCAGGTCACAGGGCATCCAAAGGCCAGTTTTGACACGAGGCAAAATGATGGTGTGATGTGGCCCCATACTCACCAGCTGGCCCTAAACTCATAATTATGCATGCATTCATTCATTCACTCATCCATGCAACAAACTTTTACCTTCTCCTAGGAGCTGCAGATACAAGCCAGCCAGCCAGGTCCCTGTCCTTACACACACACCAGCACTGATCCCTACATCACTAGCCGCCACTCAGCCCCTCCCATCGTGGGCAGAAAGACAAGGCTGACATATGCCAGGCCCTATGCTCCTCATGTGGGATGCTCAGAGACTCTCCAACTACCTTCGCCTCCTTGTGCCTCAGTTTCCTCACCCAGAAAACAGGGATGACAGCAGCCATCTCACTGAGCTGTTGAAAAACTTCAATGAGTTAATTCCTACACAGGACACAGAGCAGGATGGGAGTCCTGAGGACCCATGGTCCAGCCAGGGGCTTGTCCACCCCCCACGAGGGGCTCCAGAGGCACCATCCATAGGGGGCTTCATCTCCTGTCCATGACCTGCCTCAGCTCAGCCATCAAATGAGCCCTGCTGGGCCAGGCTTATGAGCTGGGAGGCGGGAACAGAATGGGGGCTGAGTCCTCACTCTTGAGCTGATGGCCTCTGTCCTGTCTCTCCAAGCCTGGTCTCCAGACTTCCTGGCCATGCTCTGAGCTCCCTGAAATCCTTCCAATAAATTTCCTTTTGAGCACTTAAGATGATCAGTCTCCGTTACTTGCAACCAAAAAACCTGGCTAACATAACAGTACCCCCTCTTTGCCAGGCCATGTTCAAAGGAGAATTTCATTTAATCCTCATAGCAATTTACAGGAACCATAATTGGCCCCATTTTGCAGGTGAGAAGACTGAGGCCTAGAGCAGTTGATTACCTTGGCCAAGATCACTCAACTGTTAGTGGCAGAGTCAGAATTCAAACCCAGACCACAAAAATTCCTCCCTACTCAACACTAAGCACCTTACGAGCATTGCCTCATTCATGATTATTAGCCCAGTTTTATAGTTGAGAAACCAAAGCCACAAATCACAGAATAAACCGAGCCAAGATGTGCCTGTGGGTTCTGGGAGGAGGAGCTTTTGAGTCTGGAGCTGGTGAGGTTTACCCATGAGGTCACAATGTGGCCTCCACGGGACAGAGCAGGGGCAGGGGCACCCCCCCCGCCCCGCCCAGCCAGAAGGCAGGGCAGAGGCAGCATGGGCTGTGGCCCCCAGTGGTGACCAGCCCTGCCATGGGAAACAACAGTTCTCACAAGAGGACCAAAGTGCCCAAGCAGGCCTGCAAGGAGAAGCCGCCCGATATGGACAAGGCTGGGCGGAAACAGCAGTTCTTCAGCCACCTCAAGCGGAAGAAGCCAAGCGTGAGTGCCAGGGTGCGGGGGGTAGGTGGGAGCCAGGGGTACTTGAACAGGTGGGCAAGAGGGAATGCTGGGAGTCTAGGCCTTGTGGGCATAAGTCCAAGGGCCATAGAAAGGCTTGGATAACCCCTCCTGAGGATGAGGGTCCCAGGAATCTACGTGGATGTGGTTGGGTCTTAACAGCCCAGAAGGGAGGGCAGGGATTCAAGAAACCAGGAGAAACCAGGAGACTTGGGAGTCCAGGAGGGTGGGCAGGAAGGGATTCTCCCAACTCGTAACAGACGGGTAGAAGGCTCAGCAATGAGAATCAGCCCTAGTTGGAACCACAGAGGCTATGGGCACAGGGTGTTCTCTTATGCCCCCTTTCCAGCTTCTAGCCACAAAATGTGCTATTCTTCTGGGGTGGGTTAGAGTCCCAGCACCAACGCTAGGAGGGCAGGCAAAGAATCCCATATACGTCGACGGTGCAAGGTCTCGGGAGGTCAACCTCGGGTGGGTAAGGGTATCCAGAGGGAAGGCAGGGGTCCTGGGCGATGGGGCAGGGGGAGACCCACTCCCGCCCCCTGGAAACGTAAAGGGAACAGAGTCCCAGGAGACAGGACCTGGTGGGTAAGGATCCTCAGCAAGAAGACGCGGGGCGCTCTTCCCCCAGGCCAAGATCGTGCTGCTTTTCCCCTTGGACAAGCGGCAGCAGCTAGCCGAGGTGGCGGCGGGCCCCAGCGCGCGGCCTGGGCGACCAGGCGAGGACGCGACGGGCGGCCCGGTGGGCTCCCCGGCGGCGGCGCCCATGCTGCGAGGAGCGGGCGACGGCGCTGATCGGCGCGAGGGCGTACGCGCGCGCGAGATGAAGAAGATCTTGGTCCTGCTGCTGCTGCTGGACGCGCGGCTGCAGGAGGAGGGGCGCTGCGCGGCGGGCGCGCCCGGGGGCGGGGCCGGAGCGGGGGGCGGAGCCACGGTGGCGCCGGGCTGGCAGCGGCTGTATGCGCGCCTGCTGACCGAGAGCGAGGTGGACCGCGATGCCGACCCAGCCGAGGAGCAGCCGCGGAAGCGGCGCCGCTGCCCTCGCCCGCGGCCCTGAGCGCCCGGCCCGGTCCGCGGCCCCCGGCCCAATAAAGAGCGCATAGCAACCCTGGCGCCCGCTAGCTCTGTCCGAGGCGGCGCAACACGGAGCTGGGTGGGGGAAACTGAGGCCCAGAGCGAGACACGGATGAAATGGGAGTATTGATGGCAGAGCAACGGCCACGGCCTGGAGCCAAAACTGTTGGTGCCTTCACCTTGTGACCGAAGCGACAGAACCCCCACCCCGAGCTGGGGAGGGGCACCCAGCCACAGTGGAGGGAAGCTATTTTCCTCCTCCCAGCAACTCCAGGCCCTGGTCAGAACCTTCAAGGTCTGCAGGCCCAAGGGAGGTGAGTTTGGGCAAACCCCAGCTTGGCCAAGCTAGGAGGAGGGGCCTGCTTCCCACAGAAGTCTAATATCTCCAAATGTCCCCAACATTCACAAGTCCTTAGACACGGGGAGGGTTCCAGGCAAACAGCCACCACCCTGGAAAAAACTGAGAAGGCCCCACGATCAGCAGGGCTGGGGCCTGGGACTCACAGTCTGCCCGTGAGAGCACCCAGGTGGAGAGGCTGGGCTCTGTGGGCCTCTGATCCCTCACTCCTGCCCCAATGCGCTTGGTAACCCCCAAGTCACCTCAGTCACTTGTCTCCCAACCTACCCTGTGCCATCCCTTTGCCCACACTGCAGCCAGAGACTTCTTCCAAACCACTTAGCCAGCTGTAGGACAGTTCACTCTCCTCATAAGCCCCCACCGGTTCTCCGTGGCCCACAGGGAAATGCCCAAACTTACTGTTGTCATGTGCAGGCCCAGCCCCCAGCCTCAGTCTCTCCTTCTAGGGCTTCTGAGTGACTCCTATCCTCAACCCTGCTCTAGCCATATTACCACTGTGCTCTCCAATGCAAGGTTCACCTCCCTCACTCACCCAGGAGGGGCCGGCATGCTTTCTGTGAGAAGGATCCAGCTGCTTGTTCTCATTCTCCTGGGTCCCAAACCCAGCTCCAGACCTGAGTGCTGCCCCAACTCTACCGAAACTGTAGCCAACCTTCTACTTGTGACCGCCTCAGAAAGTCCCAAAGGGGGCAGATGCAGCAGGGGTGAAGGTCCCAGCTTATTAAAGACAGGCCCAGCTTCTGCTGAAGATGCACTTTCGTTAGTGTCAACACAATCGATATCCCTTCCATATCCCCCTGCATCAGGCTGGAGGTTGCATGACCCATAGCATCTCTCCAAATGCTTGTAAGAACAAACCTTTTCCTACCACCCATGTGGTCACAATCATGGTAACCATGTTCTCCAATGTGGCCACACATCCTGGCCATACGTGATTGGCCGAGGCTGGTCTTACCAGCCTCTTCCCTGGGACTGTAATTCAGGAGCTGTGAGAGACTGCTACATAAACATGCATGGGCTTAAGCCGGTCTTTGGAAGAATAAAAAAAATAATGCAGACAGTACACATCCTGGAGTTAGGCCCAACTTCCAGTCTGTTCCCAAAACCTGATTTCATCTTTGCCCTTGGTATCCATAAGACATACAAGATCCTTGGGACGCCTGGGTGGCTCAGTCATTAAGCGTCTGCCTTCAGCTCAGGTCATGATCCCAGGGTCCTGGGATTGAGCCCCGCATCGGGCTCCCTGTTCCACGGGAAGCCTGCTCCCTCTCCACACCCCCTGCTTGTGTTCCCTCTCTCGCTGTGTCTCTCTCTGTCAGAGAAATAAATTTTTTAAAAATCTTAAAAAAAAAAAAAAA